TTTAATTGGCAGGCGCTGATTCTGCATATAGTCCCTTAAATATTGGAGGACCCTTAAGCTTTGCCTTTAAGAGCTGAATCAGGTAGCGATATCTTGTTCCTTTTGTGCACACTTCAAACACTTAGTGCATGAAATCTTTTCCAACTTTCTATGCAACCACAATATGGCTTTAATGATGATTGATTTTACAAATGTGGTTTAACGTCCCAAAACCACCATATGATTATGAGAGACGCCGTAGTGGAGGGCTCCGAAAATTTCGTCTACCTGGGGTTCTTTGACGTGCACCCAAATCTGAGCACACGGGTCTACAGCGTTTTCGCCTTCGTTGAAAATGCAGCCGCCACAGCCGGAATTCGATCCCGCGACATAGGGGTCAGCAGCCGAGTACCTTAGCCACTGAACCGCCGCAGCGGGGCAGGGACTTAATAAAATAGGTGAAGTAAAGCGTGTGCTTTTCGTAGAGGGTGACCGGCTTTAATATATGCACTCATTATGGTAATACCACGTTATCACACCTGATGGGAATGTACGCTTGTCCCACGCATTACTACTGCAAAACTTCACGTTGTATTGTGAAGCACGCATACAGGACGTGTGTGCTCGTAAAACATAAAAGTTAATTTAACTGTATTTCCAAGCATGGGAAGTTATCTTAATTGTATTCCCAAGCAGACGCGTGGCTGTGTTGTAGAACACCCGCTTTCCCCGCAAATGACTCTGATTTGATCCGCACTCGGACCCAGAATTAGTTCCAAATTGATTTGCATCTTAATTTTCCAGTCACGCACAAGATGATAATTTTTCGCTCACAATCAACAACGTCGACGCTGGAATTTCTGCGAAACGAGCTCTCTCACATTATGGCGTTAATGCGCTTGCTTTGGAGACAGTAGCGGAGTCCTTAAGAGCGATCCATGCTAGTGTGCCGAGCTCTTATGGGCTAGCGCGCTAACGCGCTCCACATAGGAACACCAACAGTATTCATGGGGATTGCTTTTACTACTTTGACACAGCAGTGGAAAACAATTTTTTATTGAAAAATTCAACACCAAAATATCGAAACAACACTCATTGTGAGCAATGCACATAAGAGATGACACAGATTGTGACTGGTGGAAGTGTGAACATGAGCATGATTTGGCAATAAGAATTGTTTGAAGGGTACGACACAATGGGAACACTATCTATCTTGGTTATATATTCAAGCGAGCCCTGATTTCCGATTTCGTTTAGCTCTGTTTAAATCTTCACTGTGCCACTCTTCAGCGAACCATAGCGTGCAGTGGCTGATTGATAATTCTTGTTCTGAGAGTTTTAAAAAAACTGCTCATACATTTGACTTGATATACTTGTTCTTCAGCGGCATATTCCGACTGTTCGACCGCATCATAACTATTGCACAACGCACATACCACATGTGAAAGGTTTATACACAAGCCCTTTCAAAACAGGCCTAAGTGTCCTTGAACTCTTTGGTTTCGCTATAAATAACGTTCTCAATTTCATTACTTACCAGATTACAACGAGATTAACACAACGAGAGTGTTATTTACTGTTGGTCACTTTGTATGCAGAAGATCAAGAATGCCTTAACTAGCGTATGTCTAGTTAAATGCAGCGCCTGACATATCACAGCGCGTAATTACAATCAAATTGTTATTCATATGAGCATCTTGTAGCCTTGGAGAGAACTGATGAACGTTTAGGCTGTGTCAGCGTTGTTATATTTCATGTCGAAATTCTAAACTACAGAGAAATACTTTAGCCTCCCCCATTATATAAAGCAGATATCTCTATAGGTATGGGGCAGTGGTTCAAAACTCTTATGCTAAATTCTAGCTCTTTTAACAGACCACACTCGATGTAGGGTCTTGAAGTACAGCATCCGCCAAGAATTCCCAGGCCACTACGCCATGTATTCTTTAGCAGCATGGCCCCGCAACGTTTAACGGCCCCTGTACATCTCCTGTCTGATGCCGAACAGAAGAGTCAGAAGTTTCAGCTTAAATATCAGTACAGTTCATCTTCGAAGATATTAGTAGCAAAATCCTTTATGTAAATATAGTGTTACTCCTAATACTGCTATATTATAGTGATTGGCACCGATTGAAATTGTGTACGGGGCTCGGCATTCCGCCAAGGCTAACTAAAACTGACAAGGAACGTCTCTGTATGCGATTCCGGTGATACATCTGCGGATATAGAAAGAATAGAGATCACGACCTCGATATACGTCGCATCACCTTGTTCCCATATCATTACTGGTGATAGTGACGAGACAAGCACTTGCTGGGCTGTACCTATGAACAGGACTTTCGCTTATGAAAGAGCAGCTAAAATGCGCACAAGTGTGAGCACAGCAGTTTCATCGTGCAGTTTGTATTGTAAAAGTGAGTGCGCTTAGTTGACGAAGGAAGGGCCACAGGAAACTCGACGCTGGCTGATAACCGCATGAGCAAATATTGTCATTGACACACATTCGTGAACCTTTATCGATGGCATTTTCAATATGCTTCTTAAAAATATGATAAACAATCAAAGTAAACAGTTTTTCTTATGATTGATTTAGTTAAAGAATGTCGCTCAAATGTGAGAACTTTCATGTCATGACTGCAAGGTCTTAAATAACCCTATCCTGTAGTTGTCTAAGAAAAGTAACTCGTCTAAGAAAAGTCACTGATGCGCTTTTCTTAGAAGATATATCTAGACCTCATCGTAATAAAGTACTCTGCCCTTTGGCGCAAGCAAAATATAGTTCGGTTCGTGGCACCAGCTTCATGGCGATATGTTTAAAAACAGCTGCTATTTATGCCATAGAGATGACATTATTACGGTAAGCATTTCATTATTGTTAGGGCATATCACCTATGCAGCCACAAGGCTGCAGAGATCAGATGCCTGTAATAGTTACAAGGCTGTCATAAAGTACCTAGTACATTCTTCCTTGTCATAGGGATGCGCTTGATTAACGTACAAATGACGATGACTAGGGAAACTAAACATCTACGTGGATACCTGCGTGACGGCCTTGCCGGACTTTGTTCCTGAAAGAGGTATCTGATAATATAACCAGATGCCCCGCTTGGATTCATTGTTCCCACTCTTCTCTACAAGAAGCCAAAGATATACACGAAAAAAAAAAAGAAACACGACGCTTTCTTCTAAGGGACACGTTCATTAGACTAGACGACACGTCAAATGCATTGGTGAAACAACAATCTGTCAGGAGGGTGTAGCAAAATACACATCATGCTTGTAGGTTCTCTAAGCCGAGGCATACAGGCAAGTTTGGTCCCACCAGGTGCCTTCTGGTTTGGTCGTCCACCTTCACTACTGATTTGAACACAAACTCCTGCATAACTTCAAGTACGTTAGCTGCTTAAAGCAGGGAGAGCCTAGGTGACATTGATGTTGACACACAAGTTTGTCACTAAGCACTGCTGGTATCACGCACAAAACCAGAATTTATCGGTGCTTTGAACCATAACCCTGCTGAGCCTCTTGAAACATAACATGTTCCGAGCTTCGCTCTCGAGAAACCTTGCGCCGGGCCTGGGCACATCACGGAACATTTTGGTTAGTTATAACGCAGCGTGAAAGCCTCGTTAATGTTCCCGTAGGATGTCGCAAGAAGAAAAAAAAAAGAAGCAGTACCCAAAAAACTACACAAGCAAACAGAAGACAAAAAAGAACGCTAACTTTCGACTTACTTTATTTTTAGTATTAATCAATATGCACGCACATTCACACGCGTGATAACAACAGTAATCACTTGAGGCGCTCTGCAGATTATAACGGGCCACGCAAGACCCTCATTTTCCAACTCAACGAAGAAATCCCCTCTTGTCAAGATACTACTGTTCTCGAAGAAAGTAATATAAAAGCACTTTATATCTCGACAAGACAGGCCTATGCCCTGCATCGGATCAATAAAAGAAGGAAGAGGAGGAGGAAAAGACAAAATGCCTGTGGTATCCAAACTTCAATTTCTTTGTTGGATTCTGAAAAGAGGTTCTGGCCTGGCCTGTCAATGAGATTACCGTTGTTACCACGTGATTGAATGTGCGTATGCAATGAATTTGACAAAAAATATAATAATAATAATAATAATAATAATAATAATAATAATAATAATAATAATAATAATAATAATAATAATAATAATAATAATAATAGTGTCTCAATTTTTACGTCCCAAAACCACCATATGATTATGAGGGGCGCCTTAGTGGAGGGCTCCGCCAATTTGACCACCTGGTGTTCTTCAAAGTGCGCCGACAGCGCACATTACATGGAGCTCCATCATTTCGCCTCCATCTAAATGTGACTGCCTTAAATCGAAAGCGCAGCTTGCGATTTAACCACCACGGCCAGGATTAAACCCGTGATGTTTGGGTCAGCAGCCAAGTGTAGTTGAAAGTTTGCGCTCGTCCGGATCTTCTCTTTCATTGTGTAGTTTGTTCGCAACCATATTTTTCTTGCAGGTAGAAGACTAGTAGCCCAGCAGAAAGCTTCATTCAGCGTAGAAGCTCCGCTTGCGATTAGAAACCTCAGTTTCAGTGGGGATCATGCGAGAACCGCTGCCCGAAAATTCAAGCGTTTTTTGAGTCATCTACCATCGCAAACTATTCCGCAACAAGGTCAGTCATAGGTGACAGCGAATCACTCTTCAAAGGCGTCACATTGATAATGCAGCAGTACCACTAAATAATTCAAAGACGCCACAGACCTTTCTGGCTCCGTATTTGTGATTGAACAGTAAATGCGTCGCAGCTCATGCACAACTTAAAGACTCCACTGCAGATAATTTTGCCAAAGAAGGATTATCATTCAGGTCGTGTCACGTACATTTGATCTTTACAGTGGTTGTAACAACATGAAGATGTGCAATTCTGCTCTCAAAACACATTTGAGGCTTTTAAAAAAGCAGAAAACACTCTATGACTTCTAAGCTTGCTATAATTCACAAAACTTCTAAAGTAAAAAAAATTCAGATGAAGTGTTTGACAACTCATTTATCGCTGCAGTTAAACTGATGTCCATGTTAGTCAGCGAACTAACTCCACAGAAGTACAACCTTAGCAACAATATTTTGTCAACAAGAACACGCAACCAAAGTGACATTTCAATCCCGTGATTGTTTCTCTCGAAAACTCTGTCAAGGAAAAAACATCCAGAAAAAAAATCAATACTTGTGTCTTCATGTGGCTTGTTCCAAAAGTACCATGGTTGTGACGTTGACTGTGTGAAGTAGCTGGATTGTTGATACAATTGGGAACTGTAAAGTGCAACCCTCTGTAAACGCACACCCCTTCGGTAAACAGAATTCTGCTTCTCCGCCAGTAGAACATAACAGCTAGTTAAAAAACAAAGCACGGACATTTATGAATGCGCATTTTGAAATATCGTCGTTGGCATTGTTACCGACGGTAACACTGGCAGGGATCAGGCTTAATGACGCAGCGTTACGTAAAATTAGTATCTGCTGCTGCACGTACATGTTAATCTGCACGTACTTACATCTAACTACATCTGCGCTATGCTTGATAGTTGAAGAATGAATTGACGCACGCAACAAATGAAGTGAATATTTCCAAATCAGCTGATGCTTCAGAGAGTAAAATGTTCGATCTCAACGTGATCAGACATTCACACGCACAGCCTATTGGGAGGTGTAATGCTGAGTGAAGGAATGCACAGAAATAACAATTATGCTGCTTGAAAAAGCACACATGGGTCTTCTATTTGTTCCTCCAGTCCCGTATGGTGACGCTTAAGCAATATTTGTGCGACCATGATTACATTTCGCGAATTACTTCAGATTGAAACAATTCCAGTCTGACGATGTCGGTTCGCAAGCACACATTGCTAAGTCAGGTGACTTAATGACTGAAAAATCTCTATGTTAATACGGTAATAAAGCGCATCAACGAATTTCATGTGCCACGCATTATGAAAGCCGGTGTCGCTAACACTTTTGTCTTTAACATTTGCGATGGGCATATAGCATTCAGTCAAAGCAAACGTTCCCCTACAGCAAATACACCACGGTATTTGTTGTTCCCATTCTTTTTTTTCTGCATGTCTGTTTGTTTGGCCGACGCGGACTAAACTTGCCCTTTGACAGCATTGACCTTCTTGAAAACCAAGTCTTTCAACTTTGAGAGGTCAACGGGTGTCCGGTCTGAACGCCTTCGTCTCGGCCTCAGGTGAACTCGCTCATGTAGAGGTAGTAGAACCAGTAGACGACGTTGAAGACGAAGAACACGAATGGAAACATGATGCGACACACTTTGTCAACGTTCTGGGACCTCTTGAGGTTCTTCTGAAGTTCCATGTGCCCGCGGGTCTCGTATTTGTTGGGACCTTCCTCGCCATCTCGTTTTTCGCCGCCTTTCCGGTTCCGCTGCGCATTTGCAAATGGCAGGTTAAAACAGAGTACACAACGTTAATATATTCATCTCGAAAAATTGAAAAACACACGGCAACGTTGTTTAGGCTAGTCTCGATGCCTAAAAGTGCTGATTACAGAGGTTTTAAAGTACGTAATCTAACTTAAGTTAATTAACGTGTGAAATGTTTTTTAGCTGTAATGCACGCAAGAAAATCAATGAAAGACAACAATGACACCGTGGCATTGCTGTTGCAGCTTCTTTCTGCCGCGAGTCACTTTGCGATATCATGAGGACAAGGAGAGATAGTTACTACGCAGCCGTTTGGTTACGATTCACCTTTCTACATACCCCTAACATTCATTTAGCGGCATCGGGAGTTCCCCCTAGCATGCCCTTGAACAACCGGGCGCCAGGTTGGGCATCACCTGTACCCATTTGACCAGTGGGTGTCCGACGGTGGGGTTCGAACCCGCCAACCACCGCAGTTGAGCCGGACGCCCTAACCATTAGGCCACTGGCTGCGGTACACGGGCTTGAACAAGCGGCTGTAACAGCAATGTCACACACCACGAACGACAAGACTGCACTATGACTGAGTGTGCGCGCGTGTGCTGCCGAATGTGCTGTGTTTATCTCTCTTCCCGTCTCTCCTGTCTATATTTCATCTCTCCCATCATCCTCACATGCGCAGGGTAGCAAACCGGCTGCGTATAGGCTGGTTAACCTCAGTGCCATTCTTTTCCTCCTATTTTCTTTCCTTCCTTCCTTGCGATATCATGAGTTTGTACCTGCACATTTTTAAAATGACACCCTTTCTTTTTCCGAAGACGCACGTTAATAACGTACAGGCGCACACTTCGCATTAGAAAAAATACGCATACATTGACTCGACTCCAATAACCATGTTTCAAGTCCTTCCACGGGTGCAACAACAAATCTGCTTATCTCTGAATGTAGTATACCTATGTAAACCTTTTGCTTTTTAGCAAGATGTTAGTTCTTAGCAGGAGGCACAATTAGCTGTCCGAACACTATGAGAACGATGTTACTACACAAGTTTTACGTCTTCAGTAAAAAATCAGCCCGTACATGGCTGCCGATCTGCATATTTTCAGTTGATAGCTGTGAAACCCCGAACAAGCAATACGTACGAGAGTATAGTGTGGGTAATTGAGATCAAAACTGCTTAGAGTGCATTAGCAACGCTAGAGTACACTCTCGCGAGAGCAAGGAAGACAGCAGTACCACAAAAAAAATCTACAGTAGGCGTATGAAATCTTCATCACGCACTTTCGCCGGCCTTAACTACCCAAAAGAATTTCTTGTTGCTCGAACACCATAAAAACCACTTCTTTATTTCTAGTTTGTTTACAAAAACTGAAATAAATGCTGATGTAGCCCGACGGATAAAAACAGAGAAAACAAGTGAGGAATTGTGACGCGGAGAACGCAGCAAAACCTTGAACAACTGGTCAAAATAAACGCTGAATATTCGTTTTTTTAGCTTTCCTTTTTTGAAACGTTCACCAATAATTTACGCATACCCTTTGATTTGGTGATTATGCATGGTAAATTCACGAATTATAGGCCACAGGTTTAACATAACGAGTAGCAACGTTTTTCTTTTTATATTTACTGTAAAGTTATTAGGACAACTTTGTCAGTGCCATAGCAATGTGAATTTTTTATACAAGCATAAAACCCCTTTTACGATGAGCATATTTTGAGGTTACTATATGTTTTGCCATGCACTATAATAACGGCATGCTTAACGTAGATGCCTAAAGAATTTCTAAAACTCTAAAATAAAATATTATTCGAACTTCCAGAAATATAGCAATTACACAAGAGGTATATGAAACTTTTCAACCGAAATACACAACATTTAACTTTTATCAGCAGTTTATCTTCAAGAGAACTGAAAATACCTTTTTTAGCCTTAATGGCGGAGAAAAAAAGAGTAAAAAAAAGACAAAATGCTTTAAGACATGCAACATGCTGGCAAGCATCGAGAATGATATGTGCAACAATTTAAAAAGAAGCATGCAGAGACACATAGTGGGTGCGTTAATAATACACACAAAATCCTTTCCATCTCCTTTCCTTTTTTTCCGTTTGCCAAACATAAAAAGCCGCTGAGAAGGGAATACGAGTGGTCGTGATGATCGTCAGTGCCAAACGCAGAATAGCACGTGTTTGTATGCTTCATACGGCTTACAAAGGTCAGGAAATACCTGCATTTCACATATAATTCCCTCTTTCTCGCACGAGCGGTCACGCTTCGTAGGAACGCAAAGAGAAATATAGGAAAGATGGAAGAGAAGAGAGTAAGTAGTTAACACCTAATTATCGTTAACCTAAAGCTTGTACAGTGCGAACAAGCCCAATTTTGTCACGTTATTTAAATGACCAGTTGCGCTATGGCCACCAGTAAGTTTATAGTGCTGGAGACGAAAGTGCTGCGGTTAACGGGTACTTAGCTAACTTTTCCCGCACGCGATACGACGTCTTCACAGCTGGGTTGAACGCTTAGCGCCAAGTTTCCGGAACGGTCCCACGAGAACTACGTTCCCTCCTGAAAAAACTGCTCGTGCTCTTCAAATGCTTCGCTTCGGCGTCAAGTTTGGCGACGTGGCTCACGTCGTACGCCATTAAGGAGCAACCCAACGTTGGCTATTACTAAATGAGGCTCTGAAGGCGCGATTCGCAGGCGCTGCACGTGAATAATGCGAGCCGAGCGCGGGAGTTGAACTTTACGGCACGCGAGAGAGTGGTTTGCCGGCGGGCTTGACTTTCCGGAAGTGGTTTTGATCACCGCAAACAGTGACGCTCGGAGGAAACGGCCAAGAACCAAAATACATGGGTAAATGTGTGCAGCAATATACACGAAGCCAACGAAACAAGCTGAACGCAAACAAACAACTGCGTGGGAAAAGTAGCCTTGGCCGTAACACAATCGAAACAAAAAAAAACGTGGTGACACTGACGTGTTAAATTGCGAAACAAGGCGGTCGTGATAGCGTTTTTGAAAGTGGGAACACTGTGCTCGTCACTAAAGCTGACCTCTTCTTCAAAGGCTTCGGAGTCCCAGGTTCGGTTCTTGCAAAGCTGAAGAAACAACAACAGTCAACACTTTAAAACTTTACACCCTAATTTGGTTGCTATTACGTATAGTGGCGTATCAGTGCTGTTAACCATCATGGTGAGGTGAGTGCGTGAAAGTATGAGCACACTAAGACACTGATCGCTGCTACAGAAAACAACAAAAGATGCTCTGTAAGCATTGTACAACCTGGACTGAAAGGACGCTCATACGCTGAGTTCAAAATCAACATAAATAAATGATTACGTGAGTAAGAATAATATAGTCAAAAAGCAGTCATCTTTTTATCTCTCTTTTCATCCCTCAACACCCTTCCCCAGGTGTAGGATACCAAACCGGACGCTCGCGTGGTTGACCTTCCTGCATTTCCTTCCTCTACCTCTTCCTCCTCATTAGCTGAGTTCCTTGATAGTTTTCCAGTCACGAAGCTTCAGTTTCGGTTCTGTCATAATGACGACCGCCAGGTTCACTGCCGCACCTGATTGAAAAAGGCATCTAATACGAGGTTGTTTTGTTTCTGTTTTACATATGGACTTCCCGGTTAATCGCAAGCTTCATTTTGGAGCAACTCCATCTTGCAAGATGCCAATATTGAATATCGTAGCATGCTGTTTGAAGAAAGACTATGCCTGTCGAAAAAAAATAAACACAAAAGAAGTCACAAGGTTCTTCGTGCATTTCCCTAAGATGAAATTAGGGTGAAAGCCTCCTTCTTATTTTTACTTCTCAGCAACCATCCCCTTCCTCTTCTCGAGCGTGGCCTTGCACTGCTCTCGAGTCACTTAAAAAATGACGAAATAAAGATACACTATTCTCTCTCTCGAGATCGCAGGGACTGGAAACTTTCTGCGGCTTACGTAGTTTTACCGGCGCCCCTTATTTCATCTTACTCTGGTAGGCCCACAGGCAGGTGACGACGCTGTCGCATCGACGTGATGTGATATCAGCCCTACGTAACTTCCCAAACTTTGGTGACCTGTGATGTCATCACACGATGGTTTTTTTTTTTCTAATCATGTGATGGCGTGACAAGCTGTGAAAGGCCATGTGATAAGCTGGAGAGATACAGCTTGACTGTTCTGATGACTCTTTTTGCATAAAACTTCTCTACACCACGAAGGTTGACTTCGCAAAATGATGCTGCCTCTTTGATGACACGACATCTGGTTTTATCGGCGCTTTTAGCAGCTCGGAGTGAGCCTGCCTGACAGAGGACTTCCAGCCACTCTCAAGCTATCGTATTGAATATCGCAGGGGCGGTAGATAAACGTACGGCCAGCCAGTCAAAATTGTTCAAGACAGTCGTCACATTTCGTGATAGGCGCACTTACGACGCTTTTTGATTGGTTATTTCACACAAGAAACAAGTAGAAGGAGTATTCTACGCCACGGTAAAATGCCACAAAGGCAGTGTCTCGGCCAGAGACATTAACATCGATCGTTTTCTTTCGTTTTGGCGAAGCGACGTGGCTTGTATCACAATCGCGTGCACGGATACAATTTGTAAAGACAAGCTACTTGGCGTGTACTCGCACATGCACTCAGTTTCTTGCATGGCCAGTCTTCAAACAGTCGGTAAACAGCTAAGCACGTTGTTCTTTGCGTGATTCCAGACGGAGTGGTGGATCACGCCCGTACCGTTTGTACTGCATCCCAGTACTAGAAGGCCCCTTCAAACGCGCAGCATTGTGAAATTTTATACTCCGAAATGTATTCGCAAGCGGGTGGTCATCACGAAAAACAATGACTGCCACAAAGCGAGTGTTTCATCTTCTATCACGCACCGGCAACCACAGTGCCTGCAGCTCTGAAACGAAGCCCTCCGATCAAGCAGTGGCATCACGGCACTGCCACTTCGCAGAGCGTGTGAAGTTCTCCGGTAGCATGAAGATGCAGTTTCGTAACCAG